ATGGATGGATGGATGGATGGATGGATGGATGGATGGATGGATGGATGTGGCTCAGGAGAAAAGAGCAGTTGCCCACTGATGGAGGGTCAGTGGTTTAACTCCATGATCCTCCAGACCACATCTAGAAAAGTCCTTGGGGAAGGCTCTGTACCCGAAGTTGCCTACTGGTTGCAACTGGTGTGCCCAATTGTGCAATCAGTGTCTGAATGTGTGTGTGAATGGTGAATAACATGTAGTGTAAAGCGCTTTGAGTAGTCAGCTTGACTAGAAAAGTGCTGTGTAAGTGCTTGTACATTTGCTAGTACATGGATGGGTGGATCTTATCTGTACTACAAATGATTTATTTATTGTTGTACATAATCTGCTATTTTTAAGTTTCTATTACTATACATCTCACATCTTATGGAACTTTCTGCATTCTTAAATCCACAGCAACTACTCCTGTTACTGCACACAACCTGATGCTTTTTTCCACAACCAAATTTGTATTATTTCTTCCTCTTATTAATTGCCTGAAATTTGCCCTCATAATCGCCCCCTCTGGACATTTCTTTCTGATTCTGGAATAATCTGTGTTGCCCTGATTCACCCTAACCTGTTTTTGTACATTTAAATGTAGTCCTTCATTAATACTGTAGCAGTCACAAACATACAATAAACCAACTAGTCCTGTATTTCTTATTAACTTTCATTAGTTCTTTTTAGGAAAGAAGATAAAAAAACATCCTGCTTTTCCCATTCCCAGCCATGGGTGTGATAAACCTTCTAATATGCTGAATGTACCACACACACATTCCACATTGGCATCACATTCGGATGTGACAAGCGTAGAGGGGTAATTTATTACATTAATAGCTAATTGTTGGCTCATAATTGGATCTGACTCAATTAAAAAACCTCTGGGTGATAGTAATGAAATAGGGGGATGCGGCTGAGTGGCTCGTGGCACGACCATGCTCAATGCTGTGCCATAGGCAAAAAACATGAGGGAGAGGAGAGAGGAGGATCCTGATATACCTGCAATGCTAAATCATAAGTGCTTCACTAGATAGAGGCCAGCCTGGGAATGCTTTGTGCTGTTTTTGCAGTTCCTCAATGTGGATTTATATCTTTTGCATTGGGAAAGGTTGTAATATTTCACTGGGTGTGCGGCAGTGGGAGTGCACATGGGAGGATTCAGAGTGGGGGTTATGAAAGGGTTGGAGTTGTGGAAATATGGTATCAGCATATATTGTAATTTCAATTTGATAAGGCTATGCTTATAGCCTGGTAAGGTTCATCTTGAACAGAGTGGAGGGGGTGTTATTTTACATTTTCCCCTGCCTCGGGGACACTGAAGTGCCATCATTAGCAAGGCTGCGCTAAAAGTGGATAGGATCTGCAAATTAGGACAGGTGCTCTGCTACCATTGCTAACACAACACACTGGAAAGCCATGATAACACAAACTAACTTGCTGTTAGTTTGTTTCCTGAAATGCAAATGTGATGTATGTGATATTAGTCTCCATATGCGTGTTTAGTTTAGTCTGTATGAAAATAGGTGCACATTAAATTCCTGGGTAAAGTATTTATCGTGTCGATCTTCGCATTTATATAACATATGTATATGACTGCTTTTATGTACCCTGTCTGCCTGAATCTGGGTCTGTGTATGTGTGGATGATACATTCTGTAACACTGCTGCCTTGTCAAAATTTCCTCTCAAAGCCGCCTGATCGGGTCGAGCCTCATCAGCCTGTCACAGAGGCCGGCGTTTCATTAGGGCTGCCGTTCTCCGTCCGTCTGCCCTGCCGAGCACAAGAGCTCAAACACATGCGCAAATTAAATCGACATCCAAACTCACTCCCATACACAAAGCAATTTAAATGATATTCATTAGAGCGATGACAAGTCGTGATGAGCCTTTCAGTAGTGTAGAGAGGCTGGAGGAGAGAGAGTGAGAGACAAAGAGAGAGGATGGAGGACTCTATTTTTTACGATCACTCTTTTTCCAAGTCTGTTTCAAAGGCACTCAAGTGAAGCAAATATCAGTGCACCTCTTAGATAGAGAAAATAGATGAAATAATAAAAAAAAATCAAGAGTTTACATCGACTTAACGGATGCTTACCTGTCCTGGACTTCATTCCCTTTATGTCTGTCTCTTCATAATGCGTTGTTTTACCAAAATTAAAAAAGTTCTATAACTATATTAGCTTTGATATCTTTATATCTCATTAGTAGTAGCCATGAACATTGAGTTGGATTTGCAAAATCTTAGTTTCATGCAAAATATGCTGTGGTCTCAGGTAATGTTGTGTGCCTTAAAGGCAAAAAAACTATGTTATGCCTATAATGTTGCAGTCCACAACACAAAAAGGATTTTGGTTTGGTAGACAGTGAATTCTAATTTTAAGGATGGATTACTGTTCTTATAGAAGTTAAAACACAAAAAGCTGCTAGAAAAAAGCCTTTCACATTATTCAGTTTAAATTCCATATTTTTTCTGTCCCTAAAGTACTTCAAAAAAATAAACATGTTTGAGACGCTTTGAGAAAGTTATATAAAGATATGTGTGAAATAATAGAGACAATACTAAATCTTTAGTGTGAAAAAACAGTCTAAGCCAAGTTATCAAACATTAGTTGGAGCCATTTATATGTATCTGTTTCATGTATCTGGTTTTTATAAATTGGACAAATAGCTTTAGAGTGTTTTTTCACAATGCGTTTACCGGTTTTTAGTTTTTACATTCTATTTTTACATTCTATTATTCAGAAATTTAGTTTGAATGCACAGCTAAAAATGCACGATCACTCCATTTTTTTTTCAGAGGTGATAAAAATATCAGTGGGAGTGGGAGACAACTTATGCTCAGCCTAGGGGTGGGACGGTTCACAAAATCCACGGTTCGGTTCGTTTCACGGTTTCGTGGTCACGGTTTTCGGTTCGGTTCGGTATATGGTGATTGTTAGGAAAATCTATTCCGTCTTGTATAGTCAGGTTAAAACTAAGAATGGGGATCGTTAATATTTATTGATATCGATACTTTTATCGATACTCCTTATCGATCCGAGTCTTTATCGATACCACTATCGATAATTTTCTGTTATTTGGTGGAAAGACGATGCAACAATATTTAACAAATAAATAATTGTATTTTAAATTAAATGTAATTTTTAATAAATGTTGGCATCAGTAGTTTAATTATATATTCTAAAAATAATTAGAGCAATATACAACTGTATTACTCATGTTTCTCGCCAAAAGCTCAATTTCCCTTTTCTTTTCGTTACACTTGAACGCATCATGATAACCTAATTGTCGTTTTACTGAGCCAATCTGAACACATCATCACGCAGCACGTCTGAAACTTTATTTACTTTTCAAGCTAACTAGCTTGTATGCTGCCGATTACAACACAGATTTCACAATTACTATTGTAATAAAAAAAAACGACCAGACTCGATAGTGGTATCGATAAGCCCAAACGTTATTGATTTTTGGGTTTTGAAAAAAGTGGAACCAGGTCCTTGATAGAACCGGGTTTCGATCCCCATCCCTAGTAAAAACTGAAAGAAAAAAACAGTCTGACATTTGATACATTATTGTGACAGTGTTAGGTTAAAAGTAGGTGAGATTATGGCATTGCAAGAGAGGAAACGGAGCTAATTCCAACATGTGCTTCCCTCTAAATGCAAACTGGTCCATACAGCAGACCTATAAACTGCTTTTGGCGCGTCAGATGATTTTTATCGGCTACGCTGCTTCTCTTCTTCTTCTTGTTTACTACTGGTGGTTGACTTTGGGTGCAGTAGCGCCCCCTTCTGCTCTGGAGTGTAAACGCTTCCCTCTGAGAAAAAGGAGCAGTGCATGAACCGTGCGGTACACACGCGAACCGAACCGAGACAGTCGAACCGAACGGTTCAGACGGTTTTCAGAAACCGTCCCATCCCTAGCTCAGCCATATATTTGTTAAACTGTACCATAGGCATACATAAACACTATGTTATGCCAACAATGATTAAGTCATGACGCTTTATTTTGGGCATGGTGCACGGAATGTATGTCTGCCTGGTAGGGTGACTCTTTACTATCGGGCAGTTAAGAAGAATACAGCACATATAAAGCACTTAGAAAACAAGGCTTGCAACAGACTAGGTTCAATTCAGTATTAAATAGAGGCTTGGAGTATTGTTAGTATTGTTGTATGTTTTCTTTTCACATTCTATATGGTGTTCACGAGACTTACCTATATTTTCTGTAAAATAAGGAAAAAATTTGGGATTTGAACATCATACAGTAGATGTTTCTGTCTCTGTCTCAGTAATGAAGCTGTATGGAACTTGGGAAAAACAATTACCAAGGCAGGTCCTTGGTAATTCTTAGTTCCTAAGTTCGCAAACAATACTTGTCAGAGTGACCATTTCTTTGTTAGTCCAGCCCTCACTTCGCAGGAGGAAGATGAGGGGTTGAAAAAAATGGAAGAGAAATGCAGACAAAGTACAGGAGTTGCATGCATGGACAGCATGGACCATTGACCACTTCACAAACAGAACCCAATACGTGAAGCTTAAGAACTGTGTTTCTGATGTCATAGGCTCATTGTTATTTTACACACAATGGAAACTTTTGCATCATGTGACATGTATAATATGTTTCTTATGCAATTCGAAACCCTGTAGCCCTTACTATTGCCGTTTGTTCTTTTACCGGCCAACTGCACACATAAACACTGACTCTGATGTTGAAATCAATTTGTGTGGCCAGACATAGTGTAGACATGTGTGTTAATTAATGTTCTTGTGGGAGGAAATAATTTAACCGCGATAATGAGCTTGAAGAGATTCTGTGAGAGGGACCTGATCTCTGAAATATCAGGCTGACGTAATCTGATTAGGACGAGCTATTTAGAAAAACCTTTTTCTGTCTGTAAAAGGAAAACACAACAAATTCTGTTAAGCGCTATCATATATATGATCACATATGGTCTTGAGGTACTTGCTCTTGTACATGGACAGCCATTCAAAAATAAACACTTTTTTCATATCAGGATGTTTCCTTTCAGTTGCTATCATAGGTACAACACATCAGTATGGCTATTTTCCCCATCACATACCTGACGTTTTTTCAAGACGCCTGTCAAGGCTAATGAGACAACTGAAATTCATGGAGCCCCGTCCTCTGGATAGTCTCATTCTCTTAATCTTTTTTCACTTCAGCTTGCATTACCTTGCTTGCAGGATACCCTGTAAGGCGATGTAACTGTCCACCTGGAGGTGAGCTAGCCCACTGCCCAGTACGTCGCTCTCGTCCGGGGTGTTCCTGTCTGCTACAGTGTTCTGCTTCTTAACTTGCAGTTTTGTCCATGTTTATCCCAGCTAATGAAGACTCGATTTATTTTGTCACACCGCGGTGAGGTCAAGTTGGGGTTTTTGTCCTGTCTCCATGTTTGTCTTGTCAAATCCTGTTTTATTTTGAAACGTAACTCTCTGTTGAAATAGTCTGTTTCCCTTGTCTTTTGCCAGTGTGTTTCGTTATGTTGTCCTTCGAGCCTGAGCCTTTGATCATAGTCACAGTTTGCCTTGCCTTGTCGCCAAGAGAGTACCTTGTAAGAGTGATTTTGTTTTGGTTAGCCAAGTGTAGTTATGTCATCGCCTTTTGCTTTGAAATAACTACATTAAAACTTCTAATCTCTGCGTCTGAGTCCTGCCTTGAGCCCGTCCTGACATATTTCTGTTCGCTTAGCCCATTACCTCACTGTTGAAGTCCTTTCATTTATCGTTTAGTCCAGTTAATGACCCAGCCCATTTGTCTTGCTGTGGCTGTTCACCTTTCTAACTTACCAAACACAGCCAACTCGGATTTGTTAAGGCATGCTGATGAATAACGTCTTTGGCTCTTACCTGTGTATGTCTCTCTCTCATCTGACTACGGCTTAGACAAAAGAAGGCTTCTAGTGGGTCTGGCTAGGTCGGTAGAACGGGCAACTCTCGCTCATGTCCCAGTTCGTGCAGGTTTTTCCTCTCTGAGACTTATGACTTTTGCCTTTTGTGTCTTGGCATGTGGCACATTAAGGCTGCACCGGCTATCCTTGAGTGACATGGTAGGTTTTGGGTAACTCAGCCGCTGCCATGGACACCCTCCTTTCCAAGAACTTCAAGCCTCCTATTGATGCCAAACCTGAGGACATAGATGATTCCATGGTGGGTGAAGAAACTGTAGGGGATGCAGCGTGGTTGGTGGCAGGGAGTGTGGTGAACAGACAGAGTCCCTATCAGGTGACTTAGCATGAAGGACACGGACGAGAGAGGTCAGCCCAATGCTTGAGGCTTTTATGATTCTTTCAACAGGTAGTGGTCACAAGTAACCAGTTCACTGGATGTGTGCTGGGAGGACGAAGAAAAATGACATCATTAAACATAAAACAATAAAGGGTCCAAACAACTTCCAAACACACAATATACATCCAGTGGTTGGCCAAAGAAACAAGGAAGTAAATCAAAGAACTCAAACTCACGTTAACCAGAAGACACACACTGGAACTGGAAAGGTGGCAATGCAGTTTCAAAAGGGGTGAACCCTGGGCAAGCAGCAAACTTATAGCCTGCACAGGGCACAGGGTTTCCCGGCAGGGGCATGGGTGTGGTAGGCTAGCCCTGCCCACTGAAATGGGGACCCCATCTCTGCCACAAGAGGTAGCCAAAAGAGAGTCTTGACAGTGGGGCCTTCTTGGGACAGCTGAATGGACAAGCTCCTTCCTTTCTGTATCATGGAGGAGGGCTTGTTTAATTTCGACATGCAGCCTTGAGTGTACACCAATGACGAAAAGATATCAGTCGCCGCTTCTGGTGATTTTTCTGAGGTGGAGACTGGATCACACTTTTGTGGAAGAAACCACAATGTAAATTTGTGACTACTCAGTGGGATCTGGCTCTGGTTTTAGCCAATATTGAAGTGTTCTCATATGAGGAGGAACTGCTTCTGGCTTTATGTTCATGCAGAGTGATGGACTGAAGGCATGCGTTTTGCATGCTTTCAGTCCATCACTCATGTACTTCATTTGCATTGGATAGCTAAAGAGTGATATTACACCCTAATTGCTTTTTTGCTCCCCATTTTACGTTTAAAAGACAAAGGTCCCTGAATGCTCTTTGCCCCATGTACGCTTTGCACGGTTAAATAAAGCAGAGCTAACTCGAAACCTGACTGGGAGACATACTGCGGTAAGCGTGTTGACTCATTTATGTTTCTGGTGTTTGTGTGGCAGTAGTGTGTTTTTGCTGCTCTCACTAAATACCAGCACTCGCTAAATACCAAAGAAATTGTTAGATTGCAGCACCAACAGTTATTTGCATCTTTAGTGACTGCTGTACTCTTATATCTGTTTTAATAAAAAGTTGTGACCCTACTGTACTTTAGCTTAGCGATTAGCAGCTTTAGCTTAGCAGTTGGCAAAGGTTTCTCCTTCTCCTTATCCCTCTCGCTCTCCTGCTTTCTCTTCCTCGTTGTGTCAGATGTTCAGTTACTCCTCTGCCTCCTTTAGCCGTAATGGTTTGTGTAACAAATGTAGTTTGTACACATGGAGGCAAGGCTCACTGAGTTAGAAGCTTGGCTCCACATCTTAGTAGATCAGCCCTGAGCTAGTGTAACCAAGTGTAGCCAGTCATAGGTAGTCAGTGCGGACCGACCTGAGTTAGCCCCTGGATAGCAATCAACCCCCCCACTGGCATCTCCTTACCAGCCAGGAAAGGGTAGCTGAGAGCTATCTGAGGGAGGAATAGTTGTGCCCTGGGCGGCGGCCGGAGTCGGGTACTTGGCGAACCGATCCCCAGCTGCAGAAGCTGGCACTAGGGATGTGGAACGTCACCTCTCTGGTGGGGAAGGAGCCTGAGTTGGTGTGCGAGGCGGAGAGATTCCGACTGGATAAAATTGGTCTCACCTTGACACACAGCTCTTGCTCTGGAACCAGCCTTCTCGAGAGGGGTTGGACGCTCGGCTACTCTGGAGTTGTCCCCGGTTAGAGGCGCCGAGCAGGAGTGGGCATACTCATTGCCCCCATCTCCGTGCCTGTATGTTGGGGTTTACCCCAGTGAACGAGAGGGTAGCATCCCTTTGCCTTCAGGTGGGGGGGACGGGTCCTGACTGTCGTTTGTGCCTATGCGCCTAGCGGCAGTACAGAGTACCCACCCTTTTTGGAGTCCTTGGAGGGGGTACTGGAGGGTGCCCCGTCTGGGGACTCCCTCGTTTTGCTGGGGGACTTTAACGCTCACGTGGGCAATGACACAGTGAGACTGTGAGTGAGGCTGAAGTCACCGAGGCAGTCAAAAAGCTCCGCGGTGGCAAGGCTCCGGGGGTGGATGAGATTCGGCCGGAGTTGCTCAAGGCTTTGGATGTTGTGGGGCTGCGTTGGCTAACGCGACTCTGCAACATCGCGTGGACATCAGGGGCAGTTCCGCTGGATTGGCAGACTGGGGTGGTGGTCCCCCTATTTAAAAAGTGGGACCTAAGGGTGTGTTCCGACTACAGGGGGATCACACTCTTAAGCCTCCCTGGGAAGGTCTATTCAGCGGTTCTGGAGAGAAGGGTCCGTCGGATAGTCGAGCCTCGGATTGAGGAGGAACAGTGTGGTTTTCGTCCTGGCCGTGGAACGCTGGACCAGCTCTATACCCTCAGCGGGGTCCTGGAGGGTGCATGGGATTTCGATCAACCAGTCAACATGTATTTTGTGGACTTGGAGAAGGCGTTCGACCGTGTCCCTCGGGGTATCCTGTTGGGGGTGCTCCGGGAGTATGGGGTACTGGGCCCTTTGTTACATGCTGTTCGGTCCCTGTACGACCGGAGTCAGAACTTGGTTCACATTGCCGGTAGTAAGTCAGATCCGTTTCCGGTGGGAGTTGGAGTCTGCCAAGGTTGCCCTATGTCTCCGGTTCTGTTCATAACTTTTATGGACAGGATTTATAGGCGCAGCCGAGGTGTTGAGGGTGTCCTTCTTGATGGCCTTAGGATCGCATCTCTGCTTTTTGCAGATGATGTGGTCCTGTTGGCTTCATCAAGTCGTGACCTACAGCTCTCGCTCGAGAGGTTCGCAGCCGAGTGCGAAGCGGCTGGGATGAGTCCAAGTCCCAGACCATGGTCTCTCACCGTAAAAGGGTACAGTGCCTTCTCCGGTCAGTGGGACGTCCTTCCCCAAGTGGAGGAGTTCAAGTATCTCGGGGTATTGTTCGCGAATGGGGGTAGGGAGCGTGAGATCAATGGGCGGATCGGTGCGGCGTCTGCAGTAATGTGGGCACTTTACCGGTTGTCGTGATGAAGAGAGAGCTGAGCTTAAAGTCGAAGCTCTTGATTTATCAGTCGATTTACGTTCCCATCCTCATCTATGGCCACGAACTTTGGGTAGTGACCGAAAGAGCGAGATCCCGGATACAAGCGGCTGAAATGAGTTTCCTCCGCAGGGTGGCTGGGCTCTCCCTTAGAGATAGAGTGAGAAGCTCGGGCATCCGGGAGGGTCTTGGAGTAGAGCCGCTGCTCCTTTACATGGAGAGGACCCAGTTTAGGTGGCTGGGACATCTGATTAACATGCCTCCTGTTCGCATCCCTGATGAGGTGTTCCAGGCACGTCCCACCGGGAGGAGGCCCAGAGGAAGAACCAGGACGCGCTGGAGGGACTATGTGTTTCATCTGGCCTGGGAACGCCTCAGGATCCCCCCGGAAGAGCTGGCAGAAGTGGCAGGAGAGAGGGAAGTCCGGGTTTCCCTGCTTCGGCTGCTGCCCCAGCGACACGACCCTGGATAAGTGTTGGAAAATGGATGGATGGATAGATATTTTCATTGCATTTTATTTTAATCTTTATCTTTCCCTTTTAACATTGATAGCCAAGGATATTGGCTCCTTCTCTGCATGACTGGTGTGACCCTTATATTGCATTTCAGTTTTATTTTTTAAAACCCATCCATCCATCCATCCATCCATTGTCCACCGCTTTTCCGGGGTCGGGATTTTTAAAACCTTTGACCCAATTCGAACCAGAAGCTGCAGCGCTAATTGGGTTTCCCTACCCCATTCCCTTTGTGCATGAGTGGGTTTTATGGCAATTTTTATTCTGTTCTTTATTAAAAATCCGTTTTAACTGAAACCACGTCTTGGCAGTGTCAGATTTACCTGAGTGCCTTGTGTTTAGTGTAATTCTTTCTAGATCCCTGGGTGAAATTTCCATGCTGGCATTGTTACATTTCCCAATGTGTTTCTGGGCAAGTTCTGCCATCCACCACCTAATGCCACACTGGTAACAGCAGCGGATGAGTACTCAAGTAGGTTAGTCCTGAGATCCACAAGGATGATCCAACAGCGAGGATTTCACAGAGGGATGAATTGGAGTATTAAGACAATCTGGCAGTCTGTTTGTCCTGAAAGTCCTTATGAGGAAGCTACTGATGAGCGTAGATGGAAATTTGGTGTGCAAATTGGAGCATCAAGACTTTGCCCAGGAGGCCTGCTCTGACCAAATAAAAACACACCACTACTTGAAAAGCCAGCCCATGAGAAATGTTTTTCAAAACTCACATTCAAACCAGTTTTTCCTGTATGCAGGTTAACAAAGTATAGTTTAGCACCGGGTATTTGTCAGTGCTAAAAATATGTAAATATATATTTTTTAAAAATAAAAATACATTTGGAAAAAATAACAAAAACATAAACAAAACCAGTGTAATTTACTGTTGCTCGGATTGTCAATTAAACCCAAAGCGTCACTAAACAGAATCGCTAATCGTTAATCGCTAATCGTCACTAAACACTTGTCTTTTCAACTATCAAATGACACCATTCAAAATTAGTATTTGTGCAATCTGGCAAAATATTCTAATTTACCCTTTGCGGAACAAATAAAAGAACAACTTTTACTCACAGTCACTGTGAGTAAAAGGTATCTGTTAATATGCCAACATGTTTACGAGTAAGTATAGTAATTGTCAGTTACTTATCCATTTTTATTGTCTTTATACTTAATCTATGGTTCCAGAAAGAGCCATTTTGTTGGTGGCACTGTTTTTTTACTTTATTTTTTATTTCTATTTCAGTGGTCTGCTGGTTTCCTTCACTGGAACTCTCAACAAAAGTACTGCTGGGCCTTTTTTGCATCAGTTATGTCTTCTTTGTGCAAGGTTTAGGTTTTGTTTACTTGAAGAGAGTCAATATTATCTACAATTGTTAGGATTTGGTTATAAATACTCACTTAAGCATAGTATGCTAACACATGATCTATGTAGATTTCTAATTGTTTTATTTATTTTATTACTATATGAAGTCTCTGGCTGTAACCACAGATTGTCTTTGCTCTCTCTTTTCTTTCTCTCTTTTCTTTCTCTGTTGCACATCTTTAAGTAAACACACACACACATCATTTGGTACCACATTCCAATGTCATCAACATGAATTTACGACCTGGCTTGTTAGTCTTAGAGGTAACTGACCAATAGGACATGGTTGTGTCCAGTACTCTTTTTAAGGGGTGTGCCCAGCCCAGGAGACAAAGACCCATCACACCCAGATCTCGGAGCTCTTTGCCGACTGAGACCCTGAGAGAGAGGTTTCCTCTGTGAAGAGCCCAGCGCTGAAATACTTTACCTGTGACCCAATAAATGTCAATTTTTTACTCTTGATCGACTCTGGTTTATTCTCAGGTTTCCAACTAAAGAATCGGGTTAACACAATGTTAATGCAATCTTTATTGAAAATGGTCTGTAAATATGTTTAGGATATAATTCTGCTGAGTAAAGCATATATATATATATACACACACACATGCATATACGGAATATGTGTGTGTTTGTTGATGTATGTATACTATGACTAAGTTTTTCTTTCTGTAAACAGTATATATACACACACATATGACTTGTCTCATGTAAGTGTGTGTGTGTAAGAGCATACAACAGGGATTATGTGTGTGTCAGTAAAGTGGCTGAGCTGTGCTTGTAGCGTTTAGAGGAAATTACCCTGCAAGCAACGCCTCGGCCACAGCAGATAGCAGTTTGACACTCCAGGCTGCATGGCATATTGATTTCTTGTTGTGAGAAGTGCTGTTCAAGCCCCATTTAAGATTTCCATCCACCCCACAGCCCTGAATTTGGCAGTCAGCTGTAAATTAGGGAAAATGCACATTCATCAGGTGTGTTATTTTAAGATACTTTAGAAATGTGTGTTGTCAGAGCTAAGTACACTCCTCCAACTAACAAAAAAAAAATGACTGAAAAACTGAGGTATTAGAATTAGAATTTGTTGACTAAGAGTTTTTACAGCTTAAATATTTTTAAGTCCCGTCAGAATAAGGGAGGAAATATTGTATTGAATTGTTCTATTTCAAGTATGGGAAATATTCACAACTAAACAAAAGACGGATTCAGTGACTGATCCAACTTTTTTTTTTATCACAAAGTAAACAGACTTTAATATATTATCCAATATTTCCAGGGGACATATTGGCATATCATTTTCCGCATTGTATCATATATAACAGGCCCAAACAAAATTTTGTGCCTCCAGTAGTTCGAGGGATAGGAGGTTGGAAATGCATAATGCAGAAACAGGGGCCAATGATAAGTACCGACTGCTGACTTTCATTCATTTTAAAATCACTACAAACTCTGCTCATATTAGTCATCAAAAATAATGTTGTAGCTCTGAAAATTTTCAAAACATGTATTACATCACAACGAGGATCTGGCACAGAATGTGGTGACTGAGAAACTAGAGGAGCATAAGATTAGTGAATGAAGAGCAGTAGAGAAAGGAAACACATGTGCAGGTAGTTGAGTGATAACCACAAAAGGAGAGAACTGAAGTAACCTTAGAGACACAAGTGGAAGACTCAGGAGACTAAGAAAGATAACAGAATAAAACAGGAGGCTAAAGCATGGGAAAATAGAACTAACAAAAGCAAAATACTAAGTAAAACCCAGCTCACAAACATAGTGGATAGAATGACTAAACATTCTGCTCACAGACATAACTTTAAAATTCTTACCTGGGGAAGAAATGCAGATATAATTGTATTAGTTTAAATACAACATTATCACAATTATTAATATTTCACATCTTTTCAGAGAATAGCCTGAAAGAATCCAAAAAGAATACTACTTTGTATCATGTTGAAAGGCATATTCCTTACCTGTGCATGGAGTATGAGGGAATCCGGTTAAAAAAAGGCGCCAAAAAAGATTCAGAGCAGTACAAAATATCAAAGTTAACCCTTGTATGAATTCTTTAAATATTTTATTTAAAAGAGCAAATCATTGTCACAATTCTTCCTCTGATCTTCCTCTGATGTGTGACTTTGATGTATAACTTCCCAGTCTCTTGCCACACTCTTTTTAAGGACCCTATTGAGAACCCAAACCGAACGGAATTTACATATGTCATTCCTATGATCTCAGACATGAGTGGCTGTACAAATAAATAATTTTAACCAAATCAAGATATTAGCGATTCAATACTGCGATAATGTTTCAATAAGAATTTCTCAGGTGAATTCACAATGTAGAGATTGAAGACATTGATACACATTTTATGTTCTAAAAGCATTTATTTTATGTTACATCTTTATATGCTCAATCTAGCTTGTTACTGTGGTGTCTTGCCCTCACAAGATGCTGAACAAAATGTTATTACTTTACTTCTCAATCAACTATAATCACACAGCAGGTTTGCAAATGTAATTGTACTTACACAGCACTGAAACGCAACAATGGAACAGCTAGCACTTCTGTATCTCCTGTTTGAAAGCTTGTATTTAAACAATTTTAAATATGATCAGGCAAGCATCATGAACCATGTATGTATGTTATTAGTAATTCCATCCATTGTTTCTTGATTTTGTTTTGGTGACTCAGGCTCATAAGTGTGATACATGAGATCATTGCTTAATGTCCAAATTTTCCTTGCTAAGCTATTACATTGACATTTTTCATCATATACAAGTATAATACCATCCGATGCCCATAAGCAGTGATGACTTATCAAGTTGGGTGTGTCTCACATCACTGGTTTTCTCAAATCCTAGTTATAAATATGTCGGCCACAGGTTTGATTCTGCACAGGTAGTGATGTTGTTTTGTTTTTTTCCTTTTTGACTCGTACAACAATCTTCTTACTACTATGGACTTTGGACACTGTATTCTGACATTGCTTCATATTGATTCAGAAACTGCTGGCGAGATAATCTTAAATTAAATAGAATTGTGTTATGGTTGTGGGAGCTAAGGGTTCATATTTTTTTTTTGTGCTCTGCCTACTTCAGAAAAATTATTTACGTTAGTTATTGAGAATTTACAATGGATAAGAACAACAATTTTGTTTTATTAAAGTTCTCAATTTTAATTTCTCAAATTCTCAAATTGTGGTTTTCCTCATCATTTTTTTAATTTGTTTTTGCGATTGAAGAGTACATAGAGTTCTAATCTTAGAAAAGTGTGAATTAGTACTCAGTAACCCTAACCCAAGAACAAAAGTACTAAAAGTAGTAATGCCATTTTGGACATCATTTTGTCGTCATATTTCTTTGCCATTTGAACAATTTCCTGATGAACTTTAAGAATGAAGCATAAGCATTCTCCTAATTTAATTTTTCTATTTTAAGATTTGAGGATTTTCAATGAGGAGTAATGTTTGAGTGACACTAATTTAAATTTAGGAGAATAATAAAATCACTGTAAACTATCACCTCTGCAAGAATGTTCTTATTGCAAATACTCTTTTTAATCTTTGGCGTTCTACTGAGAACCTCTGATTCGTCTTTGAAGTGGAGGAGATCTTAAATGAAAGAACAATTGTCAGGACAATCTTGATATTTGCAACAAAGACATTATTATGTTCTGCACACAAATAAATAATTAGATCTGTGAGGCAGTTCCTTTTATGTCAATAGGTAGCAATGTTTCTCTTACTGCTGAATTGTGTTCTATATAAAGAAAATAATGGAAAAAAACAAACAAGAATGGAAAAGCAAATCAAGAGACACCAAAATGGATAGGGCATTCTCCCTCCGTGCTTGTGTTTGTGTAAAGAGTGTGCTTACTTGTACCTTAGCTTTATGCTTTGTGATTCCATTGTGAGGAGTAGATCCTCTGAGCTTGTATTCCCACCCTCCCACTAGTCCCCTTCTTCAGATACAGCTATCTGAATCAGCACCACACCTTCCACAAATGCATGTGAGCAGCTTACCGTGGTTAAGGCTCTGACGGTGTTACTGTGGGATCTTCTGATGGTTGCATTGTGTGAGCCACAATAAGGATGTGGTGTGCTTGCACAATGAATCGTCTTCTAAACCTGTGTTCAGACATTAATGTTTACCCCAACATTCAGCTTCAAGTAAGGAAGTTTGTTTGCATCTCAAGAAGCCTTTCTTTGATTTACATCCACACAATGGGACGATTCTGAAAAAACAGTAAAGACAACCAAGTTTCCAAAAACCATGTTCAGTTTACGATCTTAAAAGCTTTTCTACTCATTTGAAAATCAAAGATAACACATTTTTCTCTCTACATAATAGGGTTGTTTACACATTGTTTGTTATTGAAAATTTGGGGGAGAAGGATGTCTACAACTTTTTTTTTTTTTGTCCTTTAGTGAAAACTGTAAAGATTACAGTGAGGTAGTACACAATAACGTCACCATTGAACATTTCTGTATATCAAAGTTCTAAAAAACATCCACATCATAGTGTTGTTCACATCGTCTACACGACATGGATAGAGGAAATTAATTTTCTTTTTACTGCAATTCTCATATACTGGCCTACTATGTATGCCTGTATGTACAGTATGTATATTGAATCTTAAAGCAATCTTAAAATAGAAAAGAAATAGAAAACAAATGTTTGTGAAAATGTTTGTATTTGTACATTAGGAATTTTTTTGTATATGCTGAGAAAATTCCAAAATTATGCATTGGATATATATATATATATATATATATTTTTTTTTTTGAGAATACAAAAATGTTGGTGTTAGCTTTGATGTGTCGTGATCCATATTCATTCATGACTTCATTTATAATTTTCTGTTGTACTGTATGGGATTAGTGCAAAGCACACAAGCACAGTTTGCCTGCGTGTTTGCTTGCAAGCACAATCAAGTGGGGATATCCACTGATCTCTGGATGAAGGTTCAAATCCTTAATAAGCCCCTTAGCTCTTCTCTCTTGATGTGAGGAAAGACGAGAAAATGTTTTTTTTACACTTCAGTTTCATGCATATTTCCTTTAAGGCTAATGAGAACCTTAAATATGGTGCCAGACTTCAGCACTGTTGAAGGCTGACATTTTCACACACATTGCCACCTTGTCATTGTGGATGAAGTCCCTCTACCTGGCTGTTGAGAAGGGTGTGTGAGCGTGTGCCTCCTTTTGTCTCTTAAAAGCTCCAGGACATTTTTTTTTGTCCCAGTTTACTTATATTTATTTGCTACTTATGCACCACAGATTATATCGTTCTTAAATTGATAAACAGGGCAACATTTTTTCTCTATTTTCTGTCATCCTAATTTCCTCATTCAACTTGCATATCTGTGTACAGCAAATTATCAAATGTATTGTGATGCATTCTCATTTAATGTCAATGTAGTTCAGAATAAAATCACTAAAAAAGCACTGGAGGGGCCTTGCTCATTGTTGTCATCATTCATGAGGCCTGAATAAAAGCATCTGCCAGGGTTTTTCCTGTATCTAAAGAGCTCACAAACTGTACATCCAGGATGAATGTAGAGTGAGAGATATTAAAAGGAAACTTAATGGGTGCGTGGGTCATTACAAATCCTAGCTGGAGAATAATTTTGCGATAATAACTCTGTCTGGTATCAATTGTAGACAGTGAGTAAATGGATTGCTAAATGTTACAATCACAAAGTGAAACTGTTGAGTATGTCCCTGAGTAAATATTTTGTTTTTATAATACTTTGGTATAGTTAGTAGAGGAATTTAGATATTTTTCAAATTGCAGCTTTTACCTAAATCATTATAACATAAAAACCTTTTTTTGTTATTGTTTATGAGATTGAATGCTGCCAGCTCAGTTTTCAATGTGAAGTATATGCTTTAGTTTAAGGCACTAACACAACAGAGAAGGACACAGGAAAGGTAATAGTGTCTGTTTGCATGTCTGAAAATAAGTGCATGCATGTGTGTGTGTTCCCACACTGTCCTGCTGCCACTCACTGTAAACTAGTCTGCAACCCGTCATACATAGACGTTGACACACTCCCAGTCTAATGCGCTCATTAGGGACTGCATAGCACACACATAATTGATAGCCATGACACACAGAATGTACAGACACATATTTGCAAAAAAAAAACAGTTTTCTTTTTAATGCTCCAGTAGAAAACAAGGTTATACCAAGTCATATAATGGGGATCATTGTCAAGAAGAACAACAACAGTAACCAAAGAACAAAAATGAAAGACCAATGGGACAGAATGCATAACAGTGTCTGTGCTGTTTACATGCTGATATTTTACAAGTAAAGATTTTTTTCTATTATTATTTCTCTACACTGGCAGATGTCAGTTACTTGAGCAAATTAACTGCCAAAAATGTAGCAGAACTTGTCACTCAAGAGGTTAGTGTAACCATGGTTACCTTTCATATCCCCCCCCAAAAAAAGCTGCAGTGCAGAATCATGGTCGAGTAATTATACAGAAAAAAAAAAAACATTAGGATCAATCAAAAAGGCATTCAACAATATGAAACAACTAATAGTGCTTATAAATAACAATTTACACTTGAAATATCTCCATAAAGTAATATATTTTTTGTACAACCTTTAATATTATTTTAGAGTTCACACAGGAGCATGTGTAGAATAGATTCTGATAAAAACAAAAAAGTCCTTAACTCTTTGAGCATGAGGTGGGAATAAAAAGATTGAGCTGTTGTCAGTCTTTTGTTATCTTTTTGTGTCATATCTTTTGATTACATAGCACATTTACAAAACTATTGTGCAAAAACAAGTTAATGTCTTCATACACTGTGAACCAGCAAATAGTCAGTATCCCTTTACATTGAAAATATAAAAAGATGCATAATTTAAACAGGAATTAATCAATCTATTTTTCTATACATACTTGACACAGACCTGAACTAATACAGGTCCTTGATAAATCAAAGTAAAACATTTTCCTTAAAACAAAAATTAAAAAAGAAAGAAAATCCACACACAATGCTCATGTGAAGACTTATAAACAATTCAACAGACAAATGTGAAGCTCAGGATTCTTGAATCAAAAATCTCCTTTTAAAAATGTTTTAATGTTTACAATTAGAAACATGTGAAACAAGTAATGTGGACAAAATGTGCATCGAATTCTCACAATAGCTTCAATAATTCACACTTTTAAATATTGAGTCAATATTGAGTGTTGTTTGGATCTTCAGTGTAGAAATGCTTAGATGTGCTCAGAGGGTTAATTTTTAAATGCTGACCCCTGCATCAAAATGTTATAAAAAAAAGAAACCATGGAAAGTGCAGCAGATTTTGTTTTAAAATGTTGAACTCAAATGTTTTCATTTTTGCATGCAGATTAGCACATCATATCCATAATGCCAAAATATAAAATAACCTAATTTCTGTCACCACATTATTTAGAATATCTTTTAAACTTTTTATAGTAGTTCCTCTTAGTAATAAGAGCCTGAATTTGTATTAAAAAAAAGGCAAATTCCAGTCAAAAGAGAACACTAAAACCAAGTACATTGGCATTATAAGAGAAATAAAACACAGAATAAAAAATCTTGACACTCAGTAGTTTCATGGCATCTTTGTGCAGTTCCAACTTTTCAAATCCTTTCTTTTTCAACGTCCATGAAAGGTTTAAGGGAGATCGGGCAAGAAAGAGTGAGCCATAATGAAAGAGTGCTGCATTGTCCCTGGCCATTGCTACTGTTTTTCCAGCTCACATACATACATGAGATGATCTTCAGGTGATTTCCCATGAGTTTTGCTCAGGTGAAGCTTAACTGCATGCTTACTTGCAAAAGTCCGATTGCACAGCTTACACTGGTAGACAGCCCCATTGTCGTCGTCATCAGGAGAGTTAGGGGATTCAGTCAACGGCAAAGATGTTGTTAATGAAGAGGACAGGGAGATTGGTGAGGTGGAGGATAGAGATTTTGGTAGTGAAGAGGGTAAAGGGTGGCTGGAAGGGTGAAGATTAGAGAACAGTTTTTCAGACAGTCCTTTGGTTTGACGTTGGTGATGATGTTGTGATATCTGGCTGAGTAGCTGCTCTCCAGAAAGCTTAGCCAGGTCTCGAAGACGAAACCCTAAGTGGGATTCCAAATGGCTGACGTACGTGGATGGCGAGCGAATCTGAGAGGCGCAGTCACTGCAGAAGAACACTGGGTGACCTGAATCCAAGTTTTTCAAGAATTTGGTCCCACCTGTTCGTCTCAACTGGTACTTGACATTAGCCAACCAGTGGGATATCGTTGTCATGGAGAGACCAGTAAAACGGGAGATGTGCATCCTCTCCTGTGGGCTTAAATCTGACATCATATATTTTCCGTCATTTGTTTGTCTCAAACTGGACGCAAACTGGGCTTGTAGAATGAGTAGGTGTTGCGGGTTCCAGTTGGACTGACGACCTTTACGTTTTTGGGCTGGTGAAACTTCTTCTGTTTCCTCTTGTGTGGCGCCTTCAATATCTGAACGCTCTGACTGGCTGGTAGGTGTGGAGGACTTTGACACAGTCTGACTTTCTGTCAAGTTCCTCAACATGTCAGAGATATCTGAAAGGGCATTTTCTCTCAATGGGGATGTGGACATAAATGAAGCGACTGCAGCTGAGGCTTTTGTCATAGTAACAGCAGAGGAAGGGGAAATGGACGGTGTGGAGGTAATGGAAGAAATAGCCGTTGAACCTAAAGAACCACCATTAGTAGTTTTGGCAGCATTTTTACCTTTGGTGAGATCTATAGGCTGGTCATTGCTTTGATGTTGCTGGTAGAAATAACGGTCCAAAGGCTCATTACTGGTCTTTTTGGTGTGTGCTGGTGGGGTGGAAGACGCCACTGCTGCTTTTTCTGCCAGGCTGTTGCTCATTTTAAACAGCATGCTCATGGGGTCAAGAGAGGGCAGGGCAGGTTTAGCAGCCTTTCCAAGGTGAACGTTCATTACTGACTGCAGTGCACTCAGAGGGTTGACAAAAGGCTGTTCTGGAGGTGGATGGTCTGTGATGATAGCTGTACTGCCACACAGAGAGGCCGGCAGTGGTGATGTTCCACTGGCTGTCTCCACTCCATTCTCTGCTGAATCCATCATGGAGACATTACTATTTGAATCTCTGTGCGTGATTCCGATTCCTTCTCTGCCTGCTTTTTCCGTTTCACTGGTATGCTCAGGGGTTTTGCTCTCTCTATTTTCTCTAATTGTATTTTGTTCAGGTGTTTCTCCTCTGGCTGAGTCCTCAGCCTCACTGTTGCATGGTGAAGGTGTGGCTTGTCTCAAAGGAGACTCTCTCAAGAGTCTCTCACTACTGGGCTCTGTCATTTTCTCCTCAACTTTGGTGACTTTCTCTGTTACCTTTTTGACTAGTTCTTCCATAGCATGAAAGTTGTTTTTAGGCAGTGGGGAGGTTTGGCGGCTTGGAGGTGATATAAGTGGGTGGCTCTTACTTGTTGGGGAGATCATTTCACCTCCAGAGAACATATATTTAAGGGGAGAGCTCTTCCCAGAATTACCGATAGAGAGCTTCATTATGTTTGGCAGCTGGTAGGCAGCATGGATACTAGGATAGCCACCCCAACTTGGAGCTCCATTCTGAGCTTTGTTGATGGCTGAAGTCACTGTATTTTCCAAGGACTTGAGGATATCAAGACCCCCCTTTGGATTTTCATCCAGATCCTCCTCAGTCAGATACGTGTACTTTGAAGAAATATCAAACTTTTCCTCAGTGTCATCCTCCCCTCCTGTTTTCTTATCTTTGATGAGATTGTTGGCATTGCTGATGATGGTCTCTTTAGTGCATTCTTCTTCTTTTTCCTCTTTTTTTATTTCCACAACCATTGCAGTTGGTGAGATACTGGTTGGTGGAGGCACTGGAGCAGGAGGAGGGGAGAAAGTTGTAGCGGCCAGGGGAACAGACTGAACCTTCTCTTCAGCTGCTAAATTGGACATTGGGGCATGGGTGGATGACTCCATAATTGGTTTCCCTTTCTTAATGGCAGAGTTTGTTACTTTAATAAAGTGTCCTGTTACCATCATGTGAGCAGTTAGCTCTTGCAGTGTGTCATGAGAGCTTCCACACTCCATGCATTTCAGTATCTGTGACTTCCTGGATTCAAACTGCCAGGCGTAACTTGCACCGTTTTGGTGTCCATAGCGGTTGTTAGGCGTGATGTAGGGGTTGGTAACCTTTTGAAGTAGGTCATTAGTGTCATTGAGGGAAGGCGGCTTTGGTGTTGTACCTCCAGTAGAGTCAGGTGAGCTTGGTAAGTCAAGATCAATGGGGGCTCTTTTCCGAGCTGAGGAGATAATCTTAGCTGCCACTGGTGTAACAGGTTCTTTCAGAGGCACTTTTTGGTAATGTTTTGTCTTGATCATATGGACACTTAGGTCCTGAAGGGATTCAAAGGAGTGCCCACAGTACATACACTTAAGAACTTTTTGTGCATCCTCTTTCCCCTCCATCTCAAGTAAAGAACGTTTTCTTGGTTTTGACCAGCGTTTAGCACCCTCACCATCTGTTTCAAGGTTATCATCACGGTAATGGCCTGTCTCATTCATATGCACTGTGAGCTCTACCAAAGTGTCATAAGCAGCACTGCAGTCTTTACAACGAAACTTACTGGCTCCTGTGAATATGGAGCCATAGAGCTTGGAGCTCTGCCGGTAAAGCTGGACAGTGCTAAAAAGGTTGTGCTCTGTAGAAGCGGTGGATACAGCCACTGTAGGATGTTGAACCATACTCATCCTGTTGTGGTGGTTCTGTGAGGCCTGCTGGAGAGTCTTAGCCATAGCTGTCTGATGCCAGTCATAACCTCCACTTCCACAGCTACTGCTGCTGCTGCTACTACTGCTGCTACTATGACTACGAGGGGGTTTTTCTGCTGCAGTTTGACTCAGGTTCAGATTTAGTGTAGACCAATAAGAACTGGTAAGAAAAGAGTTGTAAATAGCCTTCATTTTTTCAAGGCTATCAGCCACTGAACCTGTTGCAGCCAATATGGCCTCATCTCCACTTACTGAGGCAGCAACATTGGCTGCTGCCATTATGGCAGAGGAAGAGGATATGGACAGTGCATTGGGGTCTTTAGAAAGTAGGACATCATCCTCATTTTTAAGTGAAGAGCTCTCAAAATCTGACAGTCTGTCACTGGATTCACTTAAGTGAGACTCACTGTCCAGCTCCTGACCAGAAAAGTCAGCATTGGGGGAGTCACGAATGCCAGTGGATCCAGGTCTGTCCTTAAGAAGGAAATCCTTGTCCTGACATATGAGTTTGGCAGCAGGCTCGTCCCCTTCCTGGGCTGAGTCTTCCTCATCCAGGTCCTCATCCAAGAGGGCTGCTTCCTTCTCATCCTCAGGGACATATGCTGCTTAGATAGACAGGATTAAAAAAAGAATGAAATGTAGGTTAGAATCAACTGACAACATATCTAATGACATCGTAAAAGTATTTAGTATATTTAACGGTTGTTCTGTTAGAATTGTATATTTTACTTTTACTTTGCCTTACAATTTGTATCAATACACACACAACCCCTCCCAAACTCTTTCCATTTCCACCAGGTCTTTGTTCCGTATTGCAGAAAATCAAAGGTGCCAGGGAGAGGGAGAGAGGCAGAGAGAGAAACAGAAATAAATAAGTGAGAGAGAGGGAAAAATGTCTCTTCAAACAAAACTTGCCACCTTATTCTTCTCAAGGGGCAACAGCTTGAAATTAAAACTAAATTTGAAATTAATGAAGCACATTCTGGCGGTGGCATTTGTTTCTGAAGTAATAAATTACTTGTATCAACCTCGGAGACAGTGGTTCCTGTCTGTCAATTAATATGTCTTACGCTTCTTCTGCAGACTTTAATGCATTTCCTAACAGACACATTCACCATTTAAATTAAGCACGCATTTTCACTCATTACACTTCTCAGCTCTCGCCTCTTCGTAAATAAAAAAAAAATGTATGTATGTTTGCCAGTGACAAATCTTTCCCTGCAAAACCCATTTGCCTTAATTACCAAAGATTAGAAAAAAAGTGTAGTTATTATTTACTGTTTAGCTTCAGGGAGAAAGCTTGCATCTTTCAATTTATATTCAAATCCTTCTAGTTTAAGAATAAAACCATGAATTCACACAGAGACAAGATATTTTAAGACAAATCACCACCCTTCTTTGTTCTGAATCTGTACATGTATCTTTTTGTCAGTTGAGGAATTATTAATACTCACTTTTTAAGAAAGCGATTAATGAATCACAACCACAGCTCAAAAATATGGATTCACAAACATCTGCATGTTTTAGTGACTTGAATGATGTCTGTTAAGATGTTTGTGGCCTTAGACTGAGCATTCCTTTCTATTATAAACCATCACTCATATCACCTGGTATGTAAACATAGAATAGAATGTACGATAGGCCACAGTACACACTTTCACAATTCCATCACGTAGGACAACCACATTTACTCTATGGACAATTTAGAATAATCAACCGTGAGAGTACCCTGAGAGAACCCACCTGGGAGAACATGCAAACTCCAAACAGAAAGGCCCCTGCCCCATAATGTTTATGAAACAGAAAGACAGAACTTTTTTATTTAAAAAAGAAAGGTTGAAAGTTACGGTGTAACAAGTAATAGCTATATGCTACCACTGTTATACCACACACTTAAGTTGCTGCCAACTCCAATCTGTCATCGAGCAATGCAAGTTGTATATGTGTGAATTTGAGCATGTGGTAGTACTGCTTCAGCAGCAATCCTGAGAGGAGTGTTTGTCATTCTCAGAGGCCCTTTCATAGCCATCGGTGACGATACAACACAGACAGAAATACCTCTCAATCGCTAACACATCACCCACCCATCCAGCCCACGTGTACAAACACACACAGAAATCAGCTTTACTGTAAGTGTTGCAGTGTAACATTTGTTTGCCCTATGGCAAACTCGAGTTGCTGTCCCAGCACTCACTGTAACAAAGGAATCCATCTAAAACACATCAAATTGGATTGACAGAAATATTCAGCACTGCATACAATTTGGCAATTTTTCATTTATTGCTTAATAAATCCTGTACATTTACCATAGGAGAAACTTATACACACTGAATAACACATGCCGTTCATTTTCTTTCAGAGCTCCCTTATCTCTCCTTGTCTCTGCTCTCCATCTTTCTCTCTTTCCTTCTGTCTCACAGACACATATACAGCCTGCACATACGTGCAGCTGAGGATGCCCGCATGTACGTGCCATCTGTTCTGCATCAGCCAAAACAGCAGCTGTTTAAGAGAACAAAGGTCTGTCTGAAAAGTAGTTTAACACAGCAGCCGAGAGCTCTCATCAGCACAAAACATCCACGTAAAATCACCTTTTAAAATACGAGTGAAAATTCAAATTAGCTACATTTGACGTTTGATATCTAAATTGATATGTGAAGAGGCATAATAGAATTTGCAAGTATTGTAGTTGTGTGCGAACTAAAATCTTTTGTCTGTTAAGTGTCTGTTAATATCTACCTTGCCACACTGCACAAATATGGCTTCATAAAGTTTATTGTCAACTTGCACTGTCAGAACAAATAAAAAATATATAATTTACTTATTGAATCTGTGTCTGTTCTGTCTCAAGGAAGGGAACAATGGTGTTGATCATATTCATTAGGAGGTTGCTCCTTTCATCGTTAGAAAGATTTACTGTTTACTCACTGGCCCACCTCAAATTTTTTGAAGCCTAAAACTAAGAATATTTTCCACTGTGTTTACAGTGGGTCTAGTATTTTATGTTGATGGCAAGATGGGGAAGGGTGGCACCATCTTTTTCTTCTTTTCCAAAATCATATCTATTTCGAATGCTATTTCATTAACTAATCAAATAAATTTGCAACAACATTTTCTGTTTATAAAAGAAGAAAAAGGAAAGACACGTGGATAAATATGATACAGACAGAGAACTGTAACAAGGAGGAGTGGAAAGCACGATGAGAGAATGAGGTCTTGGAAAAGAGCCAAGAATGGGGCCACACATGCATACACAGAGAGAGACAAGCAGAGATGATCCCCAAGGCCGCTGGCTTAGGCCCAGACTGAATGGTTCACAACACTATGACCCAAAATACTAAGATAAATGTGGGAAAAAAATGTTTTTATTAAAAAAATATAATCATAATTTTAAAAAGCTCAAGTGAAAACCTAGGCTAAATACACAATGTATACAGTTACTCGTTTAATTAGTCGAGAGAGAGTACCAGATGAACTGTCAGCAGGGTGAAACGGGAGGTTTGATCTCATGCTCAGGAGGTTCAGGCTGAGTGAGACTGCAAATTTGGCAAAACCAAAAAGAAATCTCAGAAAATTTAAAGGGTTTGAAAATATTCTTAATAACTCTCAATAACTCTTAATAACTATGTACCCAATTGTAACAAAGGAGAAAACTAAGAATTTCGCTAATGTAAAAATCTTAGAAAGTTTATGAAGCCAAACAAAATCTTTGAATGAATTTCTGAGCAGAAAGTGACAAAATCTGTTATTACACTGCTGATGTTATGTTGTTAGAAAAACAGTTTATCATGCTTATATAACCACTTAACAGCCCTATAAGCCACATAGGCACGTTAGCAGTGTCTGTTTATACTTCAGCTTAGATTATGCCATTTTGCTCTGTATGTGTGTGTGATGGGACAGATGATGACAGGCATTCTTGTCTGCTTCAGTCTTAAGCTTTAAATTTAGACAAAGCTGAAAGCACACCGATTTGATTCAGTTAAATCGTATTCCCATCGGACCAAATCCCGAACAAATATCATCTCTAGGCGCATCAAAAACACACTCCAATTCATGTAAAGGAGACTCCAATGCAACCATTATCCAATCAATCACCGTGTTCCAAATTTGGACAATTCCAAGAGCCAATTAAAACCAAAAATTCCCAGTCAAGGAAAACTAATGGACTCCTGTGAATGTACTTGGAGACCTGATATGAAAACAATCATCTCCCATTTTTCCAAGATATTATCTTTGTGCCTGTCTAGTTCCAAAAGTTTATATTTTACATGCATGTTATCTTCTGCCCCCTACTTATTGATGAGGATCTATAATTCCCACGATTACCTCCTTTTCTCATTTCTTTCTGCATCCAAACACTTGTGAAAGTCACTTTAATGAAGTTAATTGAATCTAAGATCGATAGTGCTTAATTATTGTGATTTGACATGCACAGACAAATTAGTTAGATTACTCCTGTGTGTGTGTCTGTGTGTGTGGCATAGCTATACACTTACTGAGTTCTATGGGACTGGCGAGGCATGCCATTGATCTCAAGAGGTGTTTGATCGACCCAGAAGCTTGATGAATGGGGCTGTATCTTCAACTGGCTTCTTTTCTGTGACATAGTTACGGCAGGCTAAGAATTTGGCACACTAATTCCTTGTCTATTAGACATCCAAGCAGCAAGGAATGTCACCCACATACTGTATTGTTATCCAAAAACCATTATTATAGTGCTGTATGAATCACAGTGACTTCAAACACCAATGTTTGCAAAATTCAGTTTGTATTATAAATCTGTGATAATTATAAAAACCGAAGAAAATTTGTTCTTTGTGTTTTATGTGTGTTAACCATGTTAACCTGGCAAAATCATCTTCCTGTGCCACTTATCTTGGGACCTCCTGACAAAGCATTCAACCGTTGATGCTACATTGCCAACAAAAATATCCCCTTTCTGAATTGAAGAGATAATGACACACTAACAGATATGTGTTTGTATTCATATATGTAGAGTATTGATTATTTGTAAAATAAAAAGCTATGTTTTAACTGATCACAGACGTCTGAAAAAACAAACAAACAAGTCAGTTTTTCCATTGCCTTGCAAACAATTTGGAATGGAATGGTGCAGTATGGCGTGCTGTTTTGTTTTTTCGATTTATTTTCATATTCATTGTCTGTTCTTTGATATATCATTATAGTACTACCTCAGCGATATTAACTGATCATTTTATATGGTATTACCTCGGCCGAGATTCCAAGCAAACAAGGTAAATGCTGCGTAGTGATGTGATAATAATACAAACTACTGACCTTTAATAACAACAGTGTACAAAAAATGCATTTTCTTATTCATCCATCTATTCATCCATCAATTCATCCATCCATTATCGTTACCGCTTATTCCCTAATGGAGTTGCAGGGAAAACTGGAGCCTATCCCAGTGGTCAATGGGCGAGAGGCGGGGTACACCCTGGAGAGTCCGCCAGTCCATTGCAAGGCCACGCACACAAGACATACAAGGACAAACAACCACGCACACTCACACTCACCCCTAAGGGCAATTTGGAATGTCCAATCAACCTAACATGCAGGTTTTTGGACTGCAGGAGGA